AAGACAAAACTTATTGAGAGCTACAAGGGATAAGGAGAAGTGGAGAGCTATGATCGCCTACGTCCTGAAGGACACGGCACATAAAAAGAAAGAAGGGTTTAAAAAAAACTAAATATTATTCATTGTAACTGTATATTAAACAAAAAAAGTATTGAATTTAATAATGTAATTTCCCTGTGATAAAAAATTATTGATTGATTTACGACTTACCAACCTTTTGCAGGTTATTTAAACTAGCAATTATTATTTTTTTAAATTGTAAGAATTTTTGGAAGATAATAATTATTTACTGATATAAGTTCTACTAATTAACCCATATCTGGTGGAGAAGAGGTGTTCCATACCCTTCCCAAGGGAATTTGCGAGTTAGTGAATATAACGAAACGGGCTGGAATTGGAACTCAGCTCTTCGATGTTCAATTCCGAGCCGTTATCTATTGCACCACCCGCACACCCAAGCTTACAGCACCTGCTATTCCTAAGCGGTTACACATCTATTAGGTTGGTGCAAAAATAATGACGTAATAATGTCGTTTTTTTACCTTAAAAATACGTCATAAAACGACATTATTACGTCATTATTTTTGCACCAACCTAATATTTTTATCTTTGCTTGAATTTAAATATTTATTTTAACATTTGGTTTGTTCATAACTCAAACATTGATCGAAACAATGAAACTTGCTTCGAGGTTGCTTAACTTCGGTTATTGTGTAGGAGAACCTGTTTTTCAGCGTAAGTTGGACGTAAGCCACGAAAAATTGTAAATACTGTTTTTATTAATATTCGGCATTCTCTTTAGTACATTAATAAAGATGATAAAGAGAATATTTTACAAAATGAATTGTTTTAAAAATACCACCAAATTATCCTGCGTCCCTGACATTAGTATAGAGAAGTTTGTTATTAATGGGCTAATTTTATTTTGTCTAAAAATTCACTTTAAATTAAACAGAGATAGGAAAGATATTTTCTTCACCTATGTTTTCTTAGTACGGTAGCAGTTTGTTTTTATTGTTTTTTTGTTTTTCTTCAACAGGCCCATTATTTGCTTCCCTATGAAAATGATATTAACTGATTTTAGTGGGGTAATTCTGACAACATATACCATTTATCGGATTCATTTCCAGCGCTTAATAATATTTCACTTTCCATATAACAAAAAAGAATATCTTATTGTAACAAAAAAAAAAAAAAAACAGAAATTCTTCTTTTTCATATATGACTTTTTTTTCCAATCTGGGAACTAGACACAGTTATCCAAAGCTGACTATTAGAATTTACACACAAATGCAATAGCATTTATTTAAACATTTTTATTTGCTACCCTAGTGACTAAAAGGCCGCCCCAGACTCCCACAAAACAATCTGGCAATAGTCCTGTCCTTCAAGGAGTACATAAAATCAATATATAGATTTTCTTGTTTATATAGTTTTTTTTTTTCTTCTTTTCTTGCAACAAAAAATGGTGATGCTTAGAGTTTATGTTGTTATTTAGTTTCTTTTTCCCTGGTCGGGCCCAAAGTATACCCACCCCACACTTTCAACCAAGTTTTATACTTTCAATCAATTTTAATATAAAAAGATAAATATTTGAGCTATAGACAAACTAAATGTTAAAATAAATAAATAGCTGTTTCACGCAAAGATAAATTGGAATTCACACTCCTCCCTAGTTTTTGGAACAGGAGTAGAAGTTTATCGCTTGTTTCATGTTTAGGACTGGGCTTCCGGTTACTAGCCCCTTGCGTCTTAGTGGCATTATCGCCTTGCTTGATTACAATTTTTTTTAAATAACTTTTATTATTAAATTCACCTTATTTTTCTCAAGATCTGATGGTCATGACATTAATGGGTTTTAAAGAAATTTCAAATTTACACGTATGAAAATGTGATCAAATAATAAGCTCTAAAATAATTCGATTTAAACTGTTTTAATTTATGAGCATTGAATAATGTTGTTGGAATTAAATTACTTATTAATTATTTCATTTAACAGCTAATTTTTAATTATGTTTGTCAAATAAGACAAAAAACTTTGTTTTTTGGGGGGAGGGGAGTTATTGTAGAAAAGTTCAGCAAATTTTTGTTTACTAAGTTGATTTTTTAAATTAAATTAAATTAACTCTGAGTTTTCATGAGACAATCAGTATTCACTTTTATTTAACGAGAAGAAATTACTGCCGAAAAGTATCCGATATTTTATCAGAGCGAGAGAAAAACTTGAAGCATTTAAAAAAAAAAGTAATAGTTGTTCAAATGCAAAAAGATTGAATAGAATTTTATTATAAACAATTGTAAATGGAATTTTTAAAGCATTCTGAATATAAAAATAAAGAAAAAAGTGTACAAGACAATAAGAAACACTACCTGCCAAAAAAAAGTGAAGTTTTATTGAAATCGGTTGAAAATGTAGGAAATCCGATCCCATATATAAACGAATACACACACACACACACACACACACACACACACACACACACACACACAAACAAACAAACAAACAAACCTGGGTTTTATAAGTATAACTCGATATGAGTTGTCCCTCTTTCATTCTCACCTCTTAATTATGTTTTCAAATTGATTTTGTGCAAAAACTATTGTGTTTTTCCAATTTTTGGCGCTGTCAGAACCACCACAAGGTAATTTTACGTAGTCCTGTGAAGTTTTGTTGAAATCGGTTGAAAAATGTATTGAAATCCGATCCAATATATAAACGAACACACACACACAACCTGGGTTTTATAATAAGTATGATTATTATTATTAGTTTTTGGTTTCTCTTTTTATTTTGCCGCAGAGTTACATTAAACTCACATCTATGTGTAACGTAACGGTTATGGGCACGTAAAATAAAATCGTCGAGACGAGTTCAAATTCCAATCGAGTCTATTGCTTTCCTTTTGAATTAATGTCCTGGTGACATGCATAAATTCATTTCTTCGGTCCATCTGTCGGCTAGGGGCAAATTAAACACAGTTGAAATTTTAGAAACTCAACCCAAAATATTTATTTGCGATTTGCGATTTAAACTGTTACTGCAATCTTTATACACCACGGACAGCCTATAGTCAAGAGAACCCTCACACACACACAGAAACATATAAATTTTGGTATATTTATGGTATAAAGTGCTCAATATACAGGTTAAATTATTTGTATATATAAATAGTGGCAACAAAGAAAACAAGATAGTATATATATATATATATATATATATATATATATATATATATATATATATATGCATTTATATATATGCATATATATATTGAATGAAAACAGGGAAAATATTCTGTGCAACTAAAGATATATTTATATGGATATATATATATATATATATATGTGTGTGTGTATGTATGTATGTATATACGCATATATGTGAATATATGTGTGAATATATGCTATATCTATATGCATATATATACTAAATGAGAAATTTGAAAGTACAATGCATATATATGTTTATACATACACATGTTCATATATATATGTATATATATATATACTGAATGAATATATATATATATATATATATATACTGAATGAATATATATATATATATATATATACTGATATATATATATATATATATATATATATATATACTGAATGAATATACAAAATTAAATTCAGAGCTTTCAGCTTCCATTTTTGAAACATAGTTAGAACTGTGTAGCGGAAAATATATTTTAAATCAATTAATTTATAATATATATATATATATATATATATATATATATATATATATATATACTGAATGAAAAAATTGAAAATTCTTTGTATCATGTTTCCTCCACCAGAAGGACTTAATTGGACGAAACACGTTACAAAAAATTTTCTATTTTACCATTAAATTGCCTAACATTGTTTTTGATATATAGATATATATGCATGTCATTTTCTCCCATATATATATATATATATATATATATATATATATATATATATATATATATATATATATATATATATATATAGACGTGTACTTGTTAGCAAGCTTGTCTCACTAGAACAATTACCATTGAATAGTGAATTCAACCCTCACTGGGAGCCCCCTACTTTCGGCCTTGTGCCACGTCTCAGCTACGCTACGCTTGAAAAATAACTATATATATATATATATATGTATAATATATATATATATATATATATATATATATATATATATATATATAGAGAGAGAGAGAGAGAGAGAGAGAGAGAGAGAGAGAGATTTTGGACATATGTATCAGCACTGGTTACTGACTGACAGTTTCATTTTTTTATGCATCCATAAGAGACAGACGGTCCCTTCTTAAGGCTTGAAACTGCCTGTCACTATAAAAGTACTTGTTTCTATGTTGACACAGTTTGTATATATATATATATATATATATATATATATATATATATATATATATATATATATATATAATGCACGTTTAATGTGTATAGATAAAAAAATATCTCACATCGAGTGATGGTGCTAATAAAATATTTAAATTATCAATATTTAAATTAAGCAACGTTCAGCTTTCAATCTACACCTGACGATCGCATTGTGCATGAAACTCAAAGTTATGCTATCTATGTGAAACAAATGTACATGTAATCTCTCTCTCTCTCTCTATATATATATATATATATATATATATATATGTGTGTGTGTGTGTGTGTGTGTGTGTGTGTGTGTACACCCACCCACACACACGCATACATATATGAGGCAGCGTGGACAAAAATCAACACTATATGGTCAATATTTTGTTTAGTGGATTGTTTTCATCAGACGATTTTCTGAAGTTATGAAACTACCAAACACTATTTAATAATGTTTTTTTTTTATGCCCACACTAATCATATATATATGCGTATGTATTTGAGTGCATGTGTGTTTGTTCATGCGTATACTTCTTGTATTCAAAATGTATATTTAAGCGATAATGTATTTTTTTAGTTCCTTTTTTTTTCTTCTTAGTTTCACATTTCTGAACGTTAGATTGATCTGCACTTTTATTTTAAATACGAAATATTGAACACTCACCAACGTAATCCTCATTTTCACTTGCAAAATCTAATTTCCGTTTCACATATTCCCATTTCCGGTCTATATGCATATCCAAAAGAGTTGGTACTTTCCATCGGTCTTCTATGGAAAAAAATTTGCCATTGTAATCCAAACCTAACGGGCTACCCCGAAAGTCTTGTAAAATAACAATTTTACCGCGTGTATCTCCTAATTTCGGGATGCAACTGAGATCTGTCCATAACCGGTTGCGAGTTATGTACTCCTCGATGCAACCACGGAATGTATCTTCGAAAGGCTGTGTATTTTCGGCTGACTGAAATTCTTTTTTCACTCTCATGATGATCACTTCACTCGGATACTCCTCCAGGAATCGAACCGTTTCTCTCAGTACCATTGGAAAATCGGCGTGCTGATATTTCAGGCCGTGGTGAATAGGCAGACCGTTACGATAATGACGACATCGTATATCCAAATAACGAATGCCGGCCTGCAGCTGAGAGTAGAGGAGCCATGCTTGGCACTCGGCCATATCACCGCCGTGGTGCGCCATTGTGTTGTGCGTTCCCGGGATGGTTATGTGTGCAAGGGAGACATGGTCCGGAATACGAGACATCCAGTCCGTATTGTTCCGACTTGGAAAAGCAGTGTTATCGAAAACTGACCGGCTAGGACGGCTTCCCATGCTAACAAACTCATGCTTTGCCGCCGAAAGAAGCTGGTTTGTTGGCGCAGGCGAGTCATGCCTAGACGAGGGATACGATGCGGCAGCCAGGACGAGCGCTGTAGCTGTTACCACAACAACCGGGAAATGAATGAACGAATGGGTAAGAAAGAGAGAAAGAGAGAGAGAAAGCACAATACGCCCGGCAGCAGGTCCATTGATTTTTGGCTTGGCCATAATGCGATTTTCGCTACCTACTCTTCACCTATAGCTGCTGACTAAATACATCGACAAAAATACGTCCCATTTGTTCTTATTTATTATATGTACACCATTAAAGGAGTTCAGATATGTATGTAAATGCACGTAAATGACAGAAGTGGTGGTGACAGTACAAAGGTAACTATGAATGGATAGATGATGGTTTTATTTAAAAACAAAAATCATTTACAGTGTTACCTCATTATCCGCGGTATATAATTTCCTACACCTCCGCTGATTTCACTATCCGTGGATAATAGCAAATTATCTGGGTATATTCAAAAATTTTCGCCGGAACATAGACACTGTGTTTTTTTAAGAATTAGATTAAATTTAATTTTTTTTTTTTTTTAAGTTTTTATTATTTTTACTAGAAAGAAAAAAATGTTTCTTTTTTTTTTTTGTCTTAGGAAAAAATACAAATGTTTTTAGAAAAAAAAAAAATTATAACATTGAAGTGTACTATTACAAAATCGATATTTAATCGATAATATAGTTTATTCTAAACCGTAAGCCTATCGAACGACAGAAGGGACGCAACTCTCTCCATTAAGAAATATATTTTAACGTAAACCAACTGTAAAAATGGAATGAGTTTGACCAGAACTTTTAATTACTTCAATAAACGTTATTTTATGAGATACTCGTATTTGAAATAGACGCAACGTTCTTATTTTAAACAGCGTATATTACATCTATCGAAATTTTAAAGAAAACGTGCTCTCCGACAGGGTTCGAACCTGTGCCCCACCTTGTAGAAGAAACCCTGGTTTGGTCCGGCGTGCCTTAGACCGCTCAGCCACAGAGAGCATCACAGCCTGACAAGGATTTATTTCCCTTTTTAAGGAAAGCACATTTCTACGTTCAGATTTTTCTCGAAAGCCCATGTTTGCTCAGTTTCGAATCTGAAATATAAACAAAGCTATTTCTAAAGAATTAATGAATTAGTATTCAATCCAATATATTTACTACTTCAAACGTAATTTTTAGAGGATGTCCGTATTTGAAATAGACGCCACAGTACTCGGACATTTAGCCGACGGACATTAACCGAAAATGTAGTGGCCTACTTACATGTATGTCACACTCTTTATTGTAATGTGCTACATATTTATTTACCGTATTAATTTATAATTTTTCGTTTTTTACAGACTTTTTTTTTAATCTATTCTGTACTTCAAATATTACTGTAAGATGATAAGTATTTTGAGAAAAAGCACATTTTACTACAGCAGAAATCTTAAGCTTTTACGATATGAAAGATCTTTCAATTTCGCTTTTAATGATCACTAAAGGGATGGACTAGATTTTATCTTACTGTTAAATACGAATTTAAATAATTAGGTGCTACTTTTTACCCAAAATACACTCAAATATTTTTAAAAATACTAATAAACAAATATTGAAATAAGAAAACTTTTAACTTTAAATTTAGAATTAGTAATTTAATCACTTGAAATTTTAGTGATAATTATTAGTCCTATTCTGCCTTATAATACTGATAATTAAAATACTTAAATTATTGCTTGTTACTATTTTTACTTGTACTTTTTCGGTGAAATACTTTCATGGTAATTGCTCCGAGAAGCTGCATTCGCTGGTTCCCAGACTTCATGAATTCAAACGCCATACGAGGATGGCATCCCGCTCTCACCCTTTCACTGTCGAAACTACTAAATGTAGCCGTCTCTTCTACTCCAATAGCTTCATGTCTAGCATCTCTCGCCTGTGGAACTCCGTTCCCTATTCCAGTTTCCCTGAGAGCTATAATCTCCAACTATTCAAATGTAATGTCAATCGATATCTACAGTTGCCTTGATCTATCCACTATTCTTCTCCTCATCCTTTCCTCTATCACTCCTATCTGATCTTGCTCCAAATCTTCTGTAACCCCTTGCGTCCTAGTGGCTTCCCGCCTTGCTTGGGGTGAAACGCTTAAAAAAAAAATGTCCGTCGGCCAAATGTCCGTTCGGACAAATGTCCGTCGGCCAAATGTCCGGCTACGAAATGGTTACACTGTGTTAATTAAAAGTGATGATGATAAAGCATTGACAAATATTCAAACTGTATTCGTTTGTTTGTTTTTTGTTTGTTTGTTTGTTTGTTTTTTGTTGTTTTTTGTTTTATTTAATCGTTTCACCCCAAGAAAAGCGACAATGCCACTAGAACGCGTGGGGTTACAAGGAGGGAAAGTGAAAGCGAAAGCGAGTGAGAAGACTGCAGATAGGGAGGATTGAGGTAAGGACAATAAAGGAATAGCGTCCAAGAAGACAGAAGATGGCGAGTGACCTTGCATTTAAACTTTTGAAGATTGTAGTTATCAGGAAAGCAAGAAATCGAAATGAAGTTCCACAGGTGTGAAGTGCGAGAAAATAAACTGTTAGAGTAGAAGCGGCAATTGCATCTAGCTAGTTCAACAGTAAAACCGCGAGACCTAGCTGCCAATCTAATAACACGCTTAAATTCATGTAGTCAGAACACCAAAGAAAGAAGTTCTTCAGAGCAGTTTCCATGAAAATATTTGTAGAACATACAGAGGGAAGCCACGTCACGTCAGTGAGAAAGTGGCTGGAGACGAGATGCTTGGTCATGACCTATTATATTGCAGACTCTTCTCTGGATTTTGTCAATAATTTTGCGATATACACCAGGAGCATCAGGCCACTTATATCAACAGCATTCAATGCACGGACAAATGGTAGATTTATAAATGTGCAATCTTCGTTTCAGCAGCCGTTTTGGATTTGGAACTATCCTTCCTCTGGACTGGTTGATCCAATCTCCCCCGCTTCTGCAACCGGAATATGCATGGTTATCAGCAAAAGGGTAGTCCCAAAATTCAAATTACAAATCGAGAATACTAAAATCAAGCAAGTACATAAATATCTGGGAAGTACATTATTTACATTATTCGGACTATTGTCCTCATCTTTGTCGCCATATTTATCACAACGTTTCGGCCGTTGTACACTCCGGCCTTCTTCAGGTGGTTGGTATCTCGAATTTAACCCTTTATTTCGCTCACTGAGGTAGACTGTTCTAGTTCCACGTGCCATGTTTAATGGATGTCAGTCATCTCCTGTTAATTTTCCTCTGAAAGTTCTCCACTGCCTTAACCGGGTATTAAACTCACACTCTTTGGGTCCTGTCACTGGATCTAACCAACGCCTTTATCCACTGTGCCATGTGTCCTTGAGCTGAAATGTTGTAATAAATATGGCGACAAAGATGAGGACAATAGTCCGAATTATGTAAACAATGTACATAATACCTCATCTCAGAAATAAAGACAGATATCTGGGAGGTGTTCTAACACAGGACGAAAAGTGCGACACTGAGATCCGAAGACGTCTTGGAATGGCCAAAGATGCATTCCAAAAGTTAAACAGAGTATTAAGAGACAGAAAAAATTTCGTTAGAGACAAAGAAAAGAGTACTGAACTGTATAGCAACGAATGCTGGACACTCTCCTCAAAAATGAAGAAGCGACTTGAAGCAACAGAAATATGGTTCTACAGAAAGATGATGAGGATATCATGGAGTGAACATGTAAGTAATAACGAGGTTCTGTAGAAAATAGAAACAAAAATGAAACTTATACTTAACATCAGGAAAAAGCAGTTGAAATTTCTGGAGCACATAATGAGGAAGGAGGGCTTAGAAAACCTGATACTCACAGGATAGATTGAGGGAAAGAAGGACAGGGGAAAACATCACGTAACATAATTGATAAGCTTGAGTAATTGGATAGTAGAACAGGGTTTGGGAGAAATAAGAAAAAGATAAAACTTATTAAGAGATACACGGGACAGGAAGATGTGGAGGGCAATGATCGCCTATGTCCTGAAGGGACACAAGACATAAAAGAAGAACATAAATTTATGTGTACTACTAGATTGGCAACTAAGTCTAATCGTTTTACTGTTGAAATAACTGTATATAACCATAAGTCTAATAATTTCTTTTCTCGCACTTCTCACCAGTGCAACTCTCTTCCTGATTTAAGTGCAACATCAATCACCATCTTTTATTTTATTGAATCTTGTTCTTTTATTGTCCTCACTGATGCCCCCCTCAGTAACTTATTGTGTCGTAGTGGCACTTATCTCCTTGCATGAGGTGAAACAAAAAAAAAAACAGTAGCCAAATTCTTTTCCTTATATTTAAATGCGCAGAACACAGTTTATTCATTTTTCTTCTTTATTAATGTTGCAAAAATGATGTAAAAATTTCATCTGTATGTAAAAAGAAAAGAAAACATTATTAAGGTGAGAGAACAATAAAAGAACAGGAATTAAGACAGAAGATAACGATTGATAATGCATTTAAATTTTTGAAGATCAAATATGGCCGAAAAGCAAGAAGCCGGAAGTGAGTTCCACAACTGAGAAGAGCTAGAAAAGAAACTGTTAGCATGGAAGTTACGGTTATTTCTAGCCAATTCAACTGTAAAATGATGAGACCCTGTTATTAATCTAGTACTGTGCTTAAATTCCAAATGTTTAGGTACCGTAGAGAAAAGTTCATCAGAACAATTACTATGAAAATATTTATAGAAAAAGCACAGGGAAGCTACATTATCAACCTTGACATCTTGGCTTCAGTGACTTTCTCACAATCACAACATGGCATCCCTCTGTCTTTTTTATAAATATTTTCATGGCAATTGTTCTGATGACCTTTCCTCCTTAGCACATCAACTGCATAAATATAAGCGTAATACTAGATTGACAACTAGAGTTCATCATTTTACTGTTGAAATCGCCAGATGCAACCGCAAGTTCTATTCTAATAGTTTCTTCTCTTACATTTCTCACCTGTAGAACTCTCTTCGGGTTTCTTGCTTCCCTGCCAACTACAATCTTCAAAAATTTAAGTGCAACAACAATCTCTATCTTCTGTCTTTCTGAAACTTGTTTTTTAAATTGTCCTTTCTCCTCACTAAAACCTTCTAATTCTATTCCCAGTAGCCTCCT